CAGGGTTTTTGAAGACAATCAGCTTATTCCATAGGAAAACCAATGAGTTCTATTAGGAGTCCTTAAAAACACACGGGTTTTTAGGGTTTAGGGTTTAGGGTTTAGGGTTTAGGGTTTAGGGTTTAGGGTTTAGGGTTTGGGGTTTAGGGTTTATAGAAATTGTATAGGGTTTGGGTCCCAATAAGTTTTGACCGAAACGTTTTGACCGAAACGTTTTGACCGAAAGTTTTGACCGAAAGTTTTGACCGAAAGTTTTGACCGAAAGTTTTGTTTTTTGGAACTTAGTTTTCAATTTTTGGGAGGCGGGGCAAGGGAGGGGCTGGAGGGAGGGGGAGGGGGGGGGGAGGAGCCAATTTTGGGTTCCGCAACCAAACTGGAGCCAATTTTGGGCTTTAGGGGCCAATTTTTGAGCTTTAGGGGCCAATTTTGGGCTTTGGAACCAATTTTGGGCTCCCAATTTTGGGCTACGGAAGCCAATTTTTTAGTTTGGGGAGGCAATTTTTAAGCTTTAGACAATTTTGGGCTTTGCAGGGCTAAAGTCAACTTTGGGCTCGAGGAGGCCATTTTGGGGGCAAATTTGGCAATTTTGGGCTGAGCCAATTTTGGGCTCCGGGAGGTTTGGGAGGGTTTTGGGAGGGTTTTGGGGGTGTTTTTGCGTGGGTTTTGGGGGGGTTTTGGGGGGGTTTTGGGGGGGTTTTGGGGGGGTTTTGGGGGGCGGTTTTGGGGGGGTTTTGAGGTGGGTTTGGTTTTGAGGGGGGTTTTGAGGGGGGTTTTGAGGGGGGTTTTGAGGGGGGTTTTGAGGGGGGTTTGACGGGGGGTTGTGGGGGGGTTTTGGGTGGGTTTTGGGGGGGTTGGGGGGGGTTGGGGAGGGTTTTGGGGGGGTTTGGGGTTTTGGGGGGGTTTTGGGGGTTTTGGGGGGGGGATTTGGGAGGTTTTGGGGGTTTGGGGGTTTTGGGCGTGGCAGGGTTTGGGGGGTTTTGGGGGGGTTTTGGGGGTTTGGGGGGTTTTGGGTGTGGGAGGGTTTGGGGTGTTTTGGAGGGTTTTGGGGGGGTTTTGGGGGGGTTTTGGGGGGGTTTTTGGGGTTTTGGGGGGTTTGGATGATTGGGAGGCTTTTGGGGGGGGTTTTGGGGGGGTTTGGGGCGGGGTTTGGGGTGGGGTGGTTTGGGTGGGGGGGGGGGGGGGTTTTGGGGTTGTGTTTTTGTGGGGGGGTTTTTGGGGGTTTTGGGGGGTTTTTGGTGTGTTTTGGGGGTGTTTTGGGGTTTTGGGGGGGGTTTTTGAGGGGCTTTGGGTGGGTTTTGGGGGTGGTTTTGGGGGGTGGTTTTGGGGGTTTTGGGGGGGGTTTGTTGGGGGGGTTTTGGGGGTTTTGGGGGGGGTTGGGGGGTTGGGGGGAGGTTTTGGGTTGGGTGGGGGGGTTTTTGGGGGTTTTGGGGGTGTTTTTTTTTGGGGGGTTTTGGGGGGGTTTGGGTGGGGTGGGGGGGGGGGGGGGGGGGGTTTGGGCCCCAGCGGTCGGAGGGTCGAGTTTCGGGCCTCATTTGTGGGCTACGTGTAGCCTAAGTTGGCTCCAGAGTTTTAAGTAAATTGAGCATTTGGTCTCCCAGGCGCTTTGGATTAATTTACTTAAACTCTGTATGTCAGCTGTTTAGACAAATATTTTGAAAATTCAGAACGATACCACATACAATTTCTATTTATTTTGTCTTGAGGGTTTAGGGTTTAGGGTTTAGGGTTTAGGGTTTAGGGTTCAGGGTTTAGGGTTTAGGGTTTAGGGGTCAGCGGTTTAGGGTTTGGGGTTTGGGGTTTGGGATTTGGGGTTTAGGGTTTAGGGTTTAGGGTTTAGGGTTTAGGGTTTAGGGTACCTTAAGCAACAGTCAAGATTCAAGAGCAATCTGGGAATTGCCTTTTGTCAACGGGTTGAAACTGCGTAGCGTGGGCGATCTCAATACATCTGAGAGCAGCCCTGGACCCCAGAATGCCACACAAACCCGAAGCCCTAAAAACTCTAGACCCTCAACCCTAAACCCTCAACCCTAAACCCTAAACCCTAGACCCTAGACCCTAAACCCTTTCGGGACGATTGTCTGTTGCTTAAGGTACCCAAAAACCAAAACCTTAAACCCTTTACCCAACCCTTAAACCCTTAAACCCTTAAACCCTTAAACCCTTAAACCCTTAAACCCTTAAACCCTTAAACCCTTAAACCCTTAAACCCTTAAACCCTTAAACCCTTAAACCTTTAAACCCTTAAACCCTTAAACCCTTAAACCCTTAAACCCTTAAACCCTTAAACCCTTAAACCCTTAAACCCTTAAACCCTTAAACCCTTAATCCCTTAAACCCTTAAACCCTTAAACCCTTAAACCCTTAAACCCTTAAACCCTTAAACCCTTAAACCCTTAAACTCTTAAACCCTTAAACCCTTAAACACTTAAACCCTTAAACCCTTAAACCTTAAACCCTTTTACGCAACAAGCCCAAAGCCTGACGGCCCTGTAAGGCCCTGAAAAATGGAACCCTAAACCCTGAACCCCTAAACCCTAAACCCTAAACCCTCAACCCTCAACCCTCAACCCTCAACCCTCAACCCTCAACCCTCAACCCTCAACCCTCAACCCTCAACCCTAAACCCTAAACCCTAAACCCTAAACCCTAAAGCATCCTTGGCAGGTCGACGAGTGGGTCACGGACTTGAAGGGCAGCGAGCATCCGCTGGTGCTGGCGCTGTTCTCCCAGGATGCCCTGGGCGGGGTTTAGGGTTTAGGGTTTAGGGTTTAGGGTTTAGGGTTTAGGGTTTAGGGTTTAGGGTTTAGGGTTTAGGGTTTAGGGTTTAGGGTTTAGGGTTTAGGGTTTGTTCGAAGTGTTTCTGGGATGGTGTTTCTTTTTGTTTGTTCTTGTCTCTCGATCCTCGCAATCTCCTTGAAATGTTAGGTGTAGGGTTTGCAGTTCAGGCTTCCCCAACCCTAAAATTCGAAACCCGAAACCCCGAACCCTAAACCCTAAACCCTAAACCCTAAACCCTAAACCCTAAACCCTAAACCCTAAACCCTAAACCCTAAACCCTAAACCCTAAAACCCGAAACCCGAAACCCCGAACCCTAAACTCGGCTCCCCACAAAGTCCCTTAAGGCATGATGTATAGGGAACCTCACTCCCAAACATTCAAGGTTTCGGGCTTAGGGTTTAGGGTTTAGGGTAGGGATAAACTAGGTATACCAGCATCAGCGCTAGAAGTCAGGTAACTGTAGGCATCGCCCCAGCTGAGGCATATGCCGCTTGACCTACGTTGTATGACTCGTGAGACTTCAAGCCTTGTAATGCCACCCTAAACTGTAAACCCTAAACCCTAAAACCTAAACCCTAAACCCTAAACCCTAAACCCTGAACCCTGAACCCTAAACCCTAAACCCTAAACCCTAAACTGCCGAGAGCGCCCACAGAACGGTTAGGGAGGGTAAAGCCTCCCAGTGCCTGGCTACGCCACAGACCTAGGGTGGCACCCGGCCTGGGACCTCCCTGGGCCCTTTCTGGGACCTTCTGGGACCTGCTGGGACCCCCTTTCTCAACTTTGTGATACACTGTCTGGAACCTTCCTGGGACCCCCTGGCAATCTGGGACCCTCCTCAAACCTTTCTGGAGACGCCTGGACCGATGGGAATTTGCTGAAACCCCTAAAACCTGATCTGCCCTGGGACTCCCCTGAACCCCCTCTGCGACCTTCTGACATGGGTCTTTCTGCCTTGCTACGACCAGTTGGAAGCAGGGGGAGGCCCCTGCTACCCCCTACCGTTTTGCTGCTTCGTTTTACTCTCATGGTTGGAAGCAGGGGCCGGCCAAGGCCCCTGCTACCCCCTGCCGTTTTGCTGCCCTTAAGGCTGCATGAAGCCCCGAGTTCCAGCATGTGCCTGGATGTAGTTTTTTAGTGTTGCAATTGACGGTTTTGGGCACCGCTCCATTTTACTCCGTGAAAGCTCCCACAAGCCTACGAGCCACTAATAGGCTCCACAAAGGGACCCTGCTCTTCTTTGTCAAAAGCAAGAAAGCCCCCTTGAGGGGGGTTTGGGGGGTGAAGCCTAAACCCTAAATGAGAATAGTTTGGGTGGTTGGGGTGGGACTACATGCTAACGCGAGCGAGCGGCCTGGGTGCTTTTAGCACCAGCGAGCTTCCCTTCTATACACCCTAAACCCTCAACCCTCAACCCTTAACCCTCAACCCTCAACCCTAAACCCTAAACCCCAAACCCCAAAACCCTAAACCCTCAACCCTCAACCCTAAACCCTAAACCCCAACCCAAAACCCAAAACCCTAAACCCTATACCCTAAACCCCAAATCCTAAACCCTAAACTTCTGGGCCCTTTGTGCAGACCCTCGCCCTTGTGGCAAGGAGGCTTCCCCTGGCCAGTGGAGCTGGGATTCGGACCGCCGGCATGCTTCAGGGTTCGGATAAAAGAGTTTAGAGTTTTGGGTTTAGGGTTTAGGTTTTGGGGTTTAGGCTTGGTTGAAATTATAGAGGGTCCTTGTCCGGGGAACGGTTTGGGACAAGTGTCGAGGCATTTCGAGATCAACGTCTAAACAGAGTGAAAACTTAACTTTGCAAAAAGATTGCATTTACAGGCTTGTTTGTGGCTGCAGGGCTTAGTAAACTCTAAACCCTAAACCCTAAACCCCCAAAATTTAAACCCTAAACCCTAAACCCCAAACTCTAAACCCTAAACCCTATTAGCGTTTGAGGTTCCGGATTTGGGAAGCTAAAACCCTAAGCTTTGGCGGCCCTGGGGCAATCGGGGTGAGGGTTTGGAGGGAGGGGGGGGGGGGTGGGCGGGGTGCAGGGCTTAAAGCCCTAAACCCTAAACCCTAAACCCTAAACCCTAAGCCCTAAACCCTAAACCCTAAACCCTAAACCCTAAACCCTAAACCCTAAACCCTAAACCCTAAATCCTAAACCCCAAACCCCAAACCTTGAAGGACTCCGTCCTTCAACCTTCGGACTCAATCGCACCAGACATGAAAGCGATCTGCCCGTTGCTCGGCAAAAGCTCTTGGGCTTGGAACCCCTTTCCCTAAACCCTAAACCCTAAACCCTAAACCCTAAACCCTAAACCCTAAACCCTAAACCCTAAACCCTAAACCCTAAACCCTAAACCCTAAACCCTAAACCCTAAACCCTAACCCCTAACCCCTAACCCCTGAGCCACGACATCCCGAAGCCTAAGCCCTGAACCACAATATCCTGAAACCTAAGCCCTAAATCTTAAGACAGAGAGCTGCCCTAAACCCTAATCCCTAAACCCTAACCCCTAAACCCTAAACCCTAAACCCTGAACCCGTATTCCGGACTTGGTCTGTGCGCTGCGTACGGTCCGAAGTCTATCTAACTCCGAAACCCTTTGAGCTTGGTAGCCCAATTAGGGTTCAGGATTCAGGGTTCAGGGTTCAGGGTTCAGGGTTTAGGGTTTAGGGTTTAGGGTTTAGGGGCAGCCCAGAGTTACCCTTCTCCTTTGTTTTTTTTTGTGGTTCAAGGTTCCCTTAGAAAGCAACCCCCAAAAAGGGTGTCCTTACAAACATATGGTTTCTGGGCTACCAAGTAAGGGACCAAGGAATCTTCACATGGCCCCCGACTCATGAGCCCCCTCCCGAGCTCCCTTCCCGCAGAAAGACGCGATTTCGAGGGTAAAAGGAGGGGACCCCCAGAAGGGACCCTTAATCTTAGTCTCCTGTATAACCCCTGTACCTACACCTTATATCGTCCCTATACCCCTAAACCCTAAACCCTAAGGTCCCTTAAAAGGGTCCCTCCTTTGGTCCCTTGACAATTGAGTGTTATTTGTGGGTCTCCGAAGTTAGGGGGTACCTTATTGGGGTCCGTATTGTAAGGGACTATATGAGGGGTCCTTATTATGGAAAACCCCCCCCCCCATTTGGGCCTGAAGGCAACTAATTAGGGTGAAGGAGTTAGCAGATACCATTTCCATTTTCTAACCATGCACACTCCCCGAGGCCACCTGAAGACCTAAACCATAACAACCTAAACCTCAACCCCCAACCCACCGAAAGACCCCAACCCAAGACCCACCGAAAGAATCCATGCCATCTAACCATGCCTAAAGCCATGGACCATGACGCTTAACCCCTTAGCATGCCCCACCCGATAGAAAACCGCGAACATCCACCCAGAAATCCCTAGCCCGAGAAAATGGAAATGGTCTTCTGAGATAAACTAGCTATATCCGGAATAATGTTTAAGAATGGGTTGCAAGGGTAATGAAGCCACAAATTCGAGAGTAATACCCATCACAATAGTGGTGCATGTGTTTTGGTGCCGCTGTGACGCTCAGTCCACATGCCCGTCTTTCCGCATCAAGCGCGCCTCAGCATGCATCTGTCAATCGTCATGAAAGTTGTCCCGGCACTTCCCGCATTCTTCTGGACATCCACGATGGCAAGGCGGTTTTTTCTGCCAGCCCGTGCTGCCTACAGGCAGGTTCCCTTGCTGTGTAAGTCGCCTTTCGCTATGCCACAGCTTCAACGTGTTGGATGTTTGTCCAGAAACATGCTTAGATGGACTCAGACTGCCACATCCCCACCACACTACGGGAAGCTGCGAGTTTCCTTCAGCCGTTCTAGCAGTTGGGTCACGGGTAAAGGTGCCTGCAGTACATGCACCGGACATGGGCAGCGTCACTTACCGGCAGGTTTGGGAGAATCTCGGGCAGTCGCAACTGGCAGGTATGCAGAGCGGTCAGATGGTCGTCATTCGGGACGCGTTTTGGCAGTCGCAGCTGGCGACGAGCGTACTTGTGCAGTGCGGGCAGATGGTCGGCTCATCTGTTTTGGATGGAATGGAGATGGGCAGTGCGATGTGCCGGCAGATTTGGGACCTGTTTTGGCTGTCGCAGTTGGCGGCCGTCATACTTGTGCAGTGCGGGCAGATGGTCGGCTCATCTGTTTTGGATGGAATGCATACGGGCAGTGTGATGTGCCAGCAGATTTGGGACCCGATTTGGCGGTCGGGGCTGGCGGCTATCATTCTTGTGCAGTGCGGGCAGATGGTCGGCTCATCTGTTTTGGATGCAATGTAGATGGGCAGTGTGATGTGCCAGCAGATTTGGGACCTGTTTTGGCAGTCGCAGTTGGCGGCCATCATACTTGTGCAGTGCGGGCAGATGGTCGGCTCATCTGTTTTGGATGGAACGCAGGTGGGCAGTGTGATGTGCCAGCAGATTTGGGACCTGTTTTGGCAGTCGCAGTTGGCGACCAGCATACTTGTGCAGTGCGGGCAGATGGTCGGCTCATCTGTTTTGGATGGAATGGAGATGGGCAGTGTGATGTGCCAGCAGATTTGGGACCCGTTTTGGCTGTCGCAGTTGGCGGCCATCATACTTGTGCATTGCGGGCAGATGGTCGGCTCATTTGTTTTGGATCGAATGCATACGGGCAGTGTGATGTGCCAGCAGATTTGGGACCTGTTTTGGCTGTCGCAGTTGGCGGCCATCATACTTGTGCAGTGCGGGCAGATGGTCGGCTCATTTGTTTTGGATCGAATGCATACGGGCAGTGTGATGTGCCAGCAGAGATGGAAGGAAGCAACCGCTCATCATGTAGAGAAAGTGATACTGAGTGCCCCTTAAACCCTTAAACCCTTAAACACTTAAACACTTAAACCCTTAAACCCTTAAACCCTAAACCCTTTTAAGCAACAAGCCCAAAGCCCGACGGCCCTGTAAGGCCCTGAAAAATGGAACCCTAAACCCTGAACCCCTAAACCCTAAACCCTAAACCCTAAACCCTAAACCTAAACCTTAAACCCTAAACCCTAAACCCTTAGCCTCTTGTAGCTATTCATAGTAGCTTCACGAGCATGGCCAGCCCCTTTGACCCCACGAGTCCAAGCCCAGAACCAGAGGTTGGAACGGCAATCTTGTATTCGTTAAACCCTAAACCCTAAACCCTAAACCCTAAACCCTAAACCCTAAACCCTAAACCCTAAACCCTAAACCCTAAACCCTAAACCCTAAACCCTACACCCTGTAATCGTATGAGTACCTGCATCGGGATAGCGGTCCAACCAGCCTCAAGTCTGCAGCGACTCAAAACGCTATGCCTATCTTAGGGTTTAGGGTTTAGGGTTTAGGGTTTAGGGTTTAGGGTATTACCTTTAACTCTGTAATAGTTTTGACCTAGCATGTTTTCAATTTTTTCAATTGTATAGACATTTCGGCTGTAGTTTCACACTCTTTCTTTTTCATGTGGTTTTCGCTTCGTAAATACTTTAACTTCATCTCCTACATCTAAATCCAGGATAAACGCGGCTCTTCTTTCCCGTCGTTGCTAAATTTAATTTGACTATGGATTGGTTGCTAGGTTTTCGGACATCTTTTGGCGGAAATTCCATGGCCGAGGGCTTCATTTGATTATGACAGGTTAGTAGGTTCTTTCCAAAAATAAATTAAGGGTCTGCCGTTGTATTCTTTGAAGGCGGTTCTAATGGCGTCGTCTTGTCTAACTTAAGTTTATAAAGCATTATAACTATGGAGTAGATATTGGAAGTTTTTCGATGTTTGTTGTCCTACTTGGCTTCCTGCATTCGTCGTCCTGGGGGTTCTTTGTCGGGTTCTTTGTCGTGGTGTTTGTCGTGGATTTTGTCGTACACGTTGTTGGCCTTCGTCTTTGTTTCCCGTTTTTGCGGTCATAAACTGTCTGATTAGATTATCTGCGGTGGTGAATTGTGCTATTTTACGGGTCTTCATACAAATTAAGCAGATTTTGTATTTTGTTCGGGTGCTTTGGTTTAAGAGATCGTTGTAATTGTCGCAGGTTGTGTGTAGTGCTCTCGTGCTACGCTCAATATCTTTTGCTCATATACAATATAGCTACGATATAAATAGATTTCGTTTAAATACTTGTTCTAAAGATTTCTCGCTATATCTAGAAAACATGTCTAAAGATCAAATATTAATATCTATATGTATGGTATAGTAATATGACACATTTCAAAAGTCCCGAGGATATGACAATGGATGAGATTAAGCAACAACTGGTATTGTATCAGCGCGTATACTATGCCAAGCGCAAAGGAAGACAAACAGTTTATGCAAAAGAAGTCAAGAAATCAGGGCTCCAGAGGCCCCTTAGGACCGTAGGAAGAGGCTCTTTAGTTAGAGGCCCCAGAGAGTAGGAATTCACTTTCGATGCTACACTTTGGCTCAAGGTAAAACGGCCCGCTAGATGCCCTTTAGCTTAAAGTTAAGGGTCGCGGCCGGGGTTGATCCCAGTGGGGTTCCCCCTCCTTTGTTTCCCCCTAGGGTGTTCCACGCATACTTAAGTGGTTATCACGCCGTAGCTCTGTGGGCCCGTAGATCCACCCCGGCCTTTCTAGGTTAGGGTTCAGCCCTGCTCGAGAGTGCTGCCCCGCGCGCGCTGAGCAAAGGGCATAGGAACGCCCCGGTGGTAGCGCATGGAAGAACAGCACCACCGGGGAACCCGCGGAGGAAGCAAGGCCCGGAAGAAGAACTTCTACCGTGGCCAAGACCTGGTGCGTAAGCTTGCGTGGAAGCAGCGCTACGCCGAGATCGACCGCCTGGACTTTGAGGAGAACGTCGACGACATCCTCCCGGGTATAATCGAGCGGTTCGAGCAGGAGTACGAAGCTGGGTGGTTGAGCCGCGACTCTGAGATTTGGGCGGAGTTAGCGGTCTACTACCCACCGCTCCGCGGCGTGCGCCAGGCACAAAGGGCCGGGATCGGGCCAGAAGATCCCGTGCCTAAGCCAAAGCCAAAGGCGAAGGCAAAGGCGAAGGCGAAAGCGAAAGCGAAGTCGGACCCAAAGGCGAAGGCTGCAGCTGTGGCGCAGCAGGATCCACAAGAGCCAGTGGCCACTTCCTCAGAGGGTGCTGCTGCTCCAAGCGCACCGGTCGCAGAAGTGGCCCCTGCGCTTGACGCGGATCCTGCTGTGCCCCAGCCAGCTGAGGCGCCTCCGACGGTGGACGAACCCGACGCCGCTGTAGCTGCGCACGAAGACTCA